CGGGGCTCCGCACGGTCCCTTGGCCGCTCTCGGTGCGAGCGGCGGGGGCCGCAGCGGTGCCGGCAGATGCCCCGCCGCCCTTCTCATGCCGGCACTCGGGGGCTCGTAAGCACGGGGCTCCCTCGGCTGCCTCCCGAGTGAAAGGCTGCCCGCCTCTGGAACTTGGCAGTGAGGCGGAACGCGCTCTCGGAGCAAGACGCGGGAAGGAAGAGTCTGGCACGAGCTGCCTGTCCTGTATTTATTAGTTGTTTGGTCACAGTTGCTTGAGGGATCAGTGGAAAATAGTCTCCTGAGGGGACTTGGGTAGGCGCAGCTTTCCTGGAGGGGATCGCAGCAGCTCCTCGAATGTAACCTTTGTCAGGGTACTTCCATGTTTCAGGCAGACTAAAATACAGTTGTATTTATATCAAGTCGTGTGCCATGTTGTAGCATATTGAAAATGTCACTTGTCCTTACCTAAGCACTTAATGATTTTTGGAAGAGAACCGTACAGAGCTAATCAGCTGTTTTTTCCTTATCTGACGTTTCATTTGACCTTAATCATTGTACTCACCTGGAATGGTAGCTGATGTGACTGACTCTTACCTTTTCCATGAGAGCTGTGCAAACTGTTTGTGGTGTGGAGTTTTTCTGATTGCTTTTTTTTGTCGGATTGTTTTTTTAGCTTTGGTTTGCTTTGAGGTACTTTAGGTAGTGTGCTGCTATAAGATGGGGGAAAACTTGTTGAAGAAAGGCATCTTGCAGTACAGGTAGAAAATGATGGGGTTTATGATCATTCTTAGTAATGATTTATATGGGCCCTTCCTATTGATGATCCTGAAAATAAATTTAAAAGCCATGACCTCGAATTTGTATAGTGTCCTATAAAAAGCTACACACAGAATCAAAAGATTTTATGTGTGCTTACATTTCTGTTACTGGGAAGAGGAGAACCTCAGTATTCCTCATTCATCATCAAGTGTCCTCACAGTCCATAGTTATTCTACAAACTACAGCATTGCCTATCTGGACAACTATAATCCAATAATAAAAAGTTGTCATTTGGTGAGAGAAAGTCTCTCTGAAGCATAGATGGGAAAAAAGTCTCTTTTTCTTTCCGTTCTCTGTGAGGATGTGATGTCAGCAGCGTTGCAGAACCACTGCTATTCTTTTGTATGTGGCCTTCCAGCCACACAGCTTAAAGTGTTTTTTAAATAATAGGTGACACACATTATCTCTTATATAATTCATTTAATCATTGTGGAGAACAGAAGTAAACTTGGGTCAACAGTGTGCTGCAGACACATTAGAATGAATGAATCTCTGTCACCCATTCCTACAATGGATGACTATCCATTGCTGTTACTGAAGGTGGTTCTGCCCTCTGTGTTCCTGTATTTCTAAAATTTAAAGTACTTGTTTAGCTGGATGAGCTTGCTGTTGGTATTCAGATCACTTCTTTACACAGCTGCTGCTTGTGTGGATCCATAGCTGTGCCAGTGTTAAATTGGTTACCTTGCTGCTGATGTTAGTGCAGCTACAGTAACATTGAGTGCAGGGAGCTGCAATCCCCAGCTGGAGTCACAGATTGATAGTAAGGCACTTATCTTACGCAGACCTCTGCATTTCCTCAGCTGAACCAGCACCAGCACCTGCATCATCTAGTCAGAAGCCAGTCAGTGCATCTGCATGAGTTGTAGCCCAGGGTAGGCAGAGAATGGTTTTGCTCAAGAATGGCAGGTTTTAACATGGCCAGATTGTTCTAACAACTGCTGTATTGATTGCACTGTAGCATATCTAAAGGTAGCATTTTCAGTGAATAAAGTTGTAGCCTGGGTTAAGAACTTGATGGGTCTGAAGCTTCTTGGAAATATATAGCATTTCTTGACTTCTCTTTGTCTTGAAATTAGGCTTAGGAAACAGTCACGGGTCTAAATCCACCTTAGTAGTTACTCCTAAGAATCTGCTCCATATGCAGGCTTTTCATTGAGATAGTATAGTTGCCATAGAAAATAATTATTTTGTAAAGATAAATTCTCATTTCCCATTGCTTGTGGGCATTCTAAGCATGTAAATGAAGAACTGAGCAGTTTGTGCAGTTTTGCATTAGAGTTTATTCACTGAGCTCTGCAAATATTGAGTAATTTTTATTTGTTGCACTTCACCTAAATAGGTTCTCTAGTCTGTGAAATTATTGTCTATAGGAGTTTACTGTTCATTTAAAGTGTTTTGAAGGAAGAACATCTTGCAGTTATAATTGAAGTTTTTTAAAAGGGCATCCATTTTTTTCCCCTGAAATTTCAGTGTAAGTTTTTGTTTTACATTCATCTGGCCATTTGTGTTTCACTGTAACTTTAATACAAATTATTTTGAATGAAGTGACACCTGCTAGTGCTGCTCTTGAGTTTCAGTGCAACTGCACTTTCCCTGCAATGTAAATGAAGATACATTCTTTAGAAGGTAGATGTTTTCATTTGGATAGGTGTAATAGGTCTTGAAAAACAAAATTGTTTGAAAGTTGGCACTGATCTCTGTGTTGTTGTTTTGTTTTTTTTCTCTTCCAGAAAGTGGATCGTTATTGCAATTGATGTTTGATGGGAAATACGAGGCAATATTTTCAAATGCAGCCATTCAGGATGTTTTCAGTGCGTCTTCTGTGGTGGAGGAGAACATTGACACTTACTTGGAGAAACAGATTCTAGCATACCTGGATTGTTCTGCAGAGGCTGATAACTTGGAAAGGTGGAAATTATTATTTATTATATGGAAGTTTAATAGAGGCTATGTTTGATTTTTACAAAAGGCATTTAAAAAATGTATAATTTGT